AAAAAAATGACTAAAACATACAAAAAATAAATCTCTTTACAAAGTTACACCTAATCCCCACAGAACGACAGCCACACGGTTAATGAAACAGCTATGTATTGTAATATTAGAGCGTATGCTCTAATGTTCTGTGTGATAAACCAGCACTTAGCTGTGCGTGCGACCACGTTTTGTACACTTTTGCATTTTGCCAAGGCCGTAGGTAAGAGCATCTAAGTCGATTTGATTGCGTTTCAGATTGCCATCACGATCTGTTAGCTGTTCAAGAAGTTTATTCATGATGAACTTGTCCAAGCAAGGTTCGAAATATGTTCTTTTTGTTAAAATGTACACTTTGCGATACAACTTTGCTGCTATACAGAAGTTGAGAATCGTCGCATTTTGGAAAACCTTCAGCAGCAGAAACGACAACTGATGATGAAGAATTCCCACATGACTCCCGGGTGAGTAATAAATCTTTTTACGTTGCAGATATTATTCGATATATTAAATAGTTTTGGTTTTCCGTCGGACTTTCCCAGCGCTCTTTTATATTTATGGTGGTTTGAATTAATATTTCTTTATGTATCCTGTCTCCTTTGAGCAATGGAGATTTATAGCGCGACAGAGCAGCCAAGTACCTTCACTGTTAGCAGATGGCTGCTTGCGAATCAGAGGCTGTCATTGGCTTCCACGGACTAGAGGTCAGTATGCCCTTAGACAGGCAGACCATCCACTGAGTGGTAATGAATACCAGTCAGTGTTTTATAATAATCCACTAGGGCGTCAGTGGCCGACCGTTTCCATGTTCAAACGAGAGGGCTTCATGATTACTGTAGCGGCTAATAGAAAAAAGTTCCATCGTCCTTCACCCTGCCGAGTAATTTCTTAGTTTTAGTGTTGTCTACTCCCTGCGACGTGAGCAAATGGATGGTTTTAGGAACCTCTGCTGGTGTGAATCATCATATCAGATTTTATCTCCACGCTTTGTGTTTATATTTAGTCAGTTTTCCGGTGGATCAAAGGGGGAAATGGTCATGCTGGCCATTCGTTCTCAAGCCAGTGACTTTCTACTCGTTTTTCTGCTGTTTGGGTGAATTCTTTGCTCAAGGGGATTAGCGTTTAATTCAAAAAGTGACCCTTTACGTTGAATTTGAAAAGCAGACTTCAGTTAAGTGCCAAACAGTCTACTTATGCATTGCCTCTTTACCGAAAATTGCTGTTTTAGTGCCAATGGCATAAGATTAGCTTTGCTTTGGGTTGGTGGCAGATGCTAAATAGTCCTTGTGAAAGTGATAGATGCGTTAGATGCAGAAACTATGAACTAACTTTAAGGAATCTTTACAAATTTGCTGCATGTTTATCAACGATGAAAATTGTTTCATTATTGTTTAATGGTTACTGGTGGATCCCGTTACGGTAATTTAAAGAAAGCCTTTTTTATGTAATGAATTGACATCTTGTTTAGTTCGGTAGTCTCGGCCTAGTTCGTCTGTCGGAATATATTAAATTCGAACACGTGTTCTTTGTTCTAACAGTATCATTTTGTATACTGGAGTCGGTCGTCATTTTCTCTAAAACTGAATTTTATTTCGTGTTGTACCGTCCTAATGTTTAATACCTGCTGTGCTAGTTCTTTCTTGCATAACTTGCTGGAAAAATCTATTGCTCATGACGAATGTCGTGCTCCACATATGTTACTACATGAATATCGAAAGTATTGGCCATGCGTCAGAGGATGTTGATCTACTTTTAACTCATCAAAACTAGATATATTGCATATTGCTAATGTTAAAATTTATTTTTTTAAATTCCTGATGATTTTTAAAAAAAAAAGGTTTTTTTAAAGAAACGTTTTTTGATGAGCTTTTACTACGTTGAAACGTGTTACGGGCAATTTAAAAGATAACTTTATGAGTAGTGATACCTTTCTTGATTGCTATGACGTTTTGTATATCCTTCATTACTGAAACGCGTAGATGCGTGTTTTCGAGTGACGAAATCAGAAGTATTCTCCTTTTAAAGTATTAGCGGCATTGAAGTAGGAATTTTGATTAGGTTACCACGCTAAATTTTTTATCTAAGTTATGCGAGGGTTTTGTTTTCTCTCTTTTCAGAAACGTCGTTTTATTAAGCATCATCAGGTTTTCGATCTGTCTCTTCATGGAGTGTTCTTCCATTCCCGTGGTAAGCGCAGGTGTACAGTTAAACTCATCGTGCTCTCTTTGGGAATTAAACCCAACGATGTTCCACATTAGTTTATACTCAACACGATTCATTCTCTCAGACCGAATTTCCTTAACATGCGGAGCTTTGTTGATCCCAGCCAACTAACATTACTTGTTGGTAACTCTCGTTGACTTTAAACGCTCAGTATGGACTGTTGCGATGGCTTTTTAGAACTACGTCGTATGCAGCAAAGATTCAGTGTTATAACTAGCAATGCGTACCTCTGACATTCGTCTTCCTTTTTTTAAAC